TGTTAAATGTTTGAAATCTTTAATAAAGGGACTCGTCAAATTTCAAGTTGTATAGTCACTATTGCAAAACTTGCTAAATATAAATTCTTATTTCTTAAATAGATTGGATACATGTATTGGGAATTTATTTCTTTAATTAAAATGCGACTTGCAACTAGTTTTATGTAAAATTCAATTAGTACGATACGAATATTGAAATAAATTTTAAGAAATATAAATGCAATATATTATTTCTTATGAAATAACTGCCAAAAATATTCTGTACGATTTTTTTTCCAAATGAATTTTTATTGGCACGATATGCATATTAGAATAAGTGTACTCTTTTCGATTTTAACATAATTAATATTTTTTTCTCATGCATTTTTTAGTGTGCCAACATTTTTAGCTCTTTACACAATTTATCCAATCCAATTTATAATGCTTTATAAAGTTATTATGTAAAAACATATGACATTAAGTTCTATTGATAGAAATTGTTTGGAAGACATTAATAAGAGAACGTATGCAACTTAAACAGCTTTCGTTGTAAAATTTTCTCTGGCAGCAAACTTCTATTAATAGTAAATAGAGTATATTTCCCCGGCACGTTCATCATATGAATTAAAGCTTTCAGTAAATTTAATTTGCATAAATAAAATATACAATAAGGTTGTTGATGTTAATCTAGTGATTAGTATTTCCATCGCATACTACGCTTGTATTAAATATTAGTTCTAAATTTATGTAATAATTTGCACGTTCTACGTTTTTGCTACGCCTCCGCTATGCTCTATTAACATGCGATGTTTTACACGGCGGAAAGTAATTTTTTATGACGCGTGTTACGAAAAACATGGATGGAATTAAACTATTTACATCAACGAGGTGACTCAGAGAGAGGGAGAGTAATGATATAAAATATTCTGAAATAATGTAGCATTGAAGGGAAAATTGACGAATTTTGTAGAGAACATTTGATATTTTATCGAAAAAGTTGGAACCGCTCGTATTGAATTATTTTGAACATCATGTAAATAAATGTGATGAGAAAACTTTGAATTTTCGATATATACTATTATTCCCAACTTAGAATTTTTATGATTGATGGCATTAAACCATTTACATAAACGAGGTGACTCAGTGAGAGTGATGTAAAATATTTCGAATTGATGTAGAATTGAAAGAAAAAGTCATGTTTCATTAAATTTCAAAGAAACGGTTTATATAGATTTCGTTCAAAAATGGGAATTAGGATAACTCAAAAAATGTGAATTACAAATATCAAAAATAATATAATTATGCAAAATATCAATTATAATTAGTAAATTTTCTTAATCTACAAACATTTGTTAATACGATGTCTAACAAAATATTTTAATACAATACTATTCCGATTCTTGATCAAAATCTATTTTTTCCCCTCTTTCTTTGAGAAATTTAATGAAACCATACTATTTGCTTCCTATTACTAATCGACTATTACATTACTATTATTATTAACTTCCCGTAGGGTAGGTATAGTAATGGGCCGAAAATCTAAAATATATTTATTTTATTTATTTGTATGTTTGAAAACGTTTAAAATTTCTCGAATATTTCATTACGCTACGGGAAGTTCCAGCAATTTGCCTTAAGGCACGATACCATACACCACTAGTTTAGATTTTTTTTGAAGAATTTAACACAATTTCCTCATTTACATTAATTCAAATATTTTGAGCCATTACTAATGAGTAATAACTATTACATTAAATAGTTTAATTCACACATTAAATAATTTAATTGTGTGAGCATACTTTCCATAAACTAGTGGGGTGTGTGGCATCGTACCTTAAGGCAAATTGCTGGAACTTCCCGTACCGTAACAAAATGTTCGAGGAATATTGAATGTTTTCAAATAGATTATTATAAATATTGTAACATTGTCTAATATTTATAAGAATTATATAAACTGAATTGCAAAGTTGAAATTATTTGTTTAAAGTATATGAAAACATAAGAACTTTGAAACAATTTTTTTTCCAAAATCAATTATTTTGTTAAAACAAGCAGAAATCATTTAAATCGGACCCTTAGTTTTCTCAAAACCTGCTATTTTTGCACTTCTATCTCCGTATTTTAGAAATGGCTGGGCCTGCCTTTGCCAAAAACTAATAACCACTTCTCGCATCATTACTAATGGAATGTTTTTAGATCATTCAAATCGGATGCTCCTTTCTCTCAAAAACTTAATTTCTATGTTCGGCACTCTTTGCTCTTTATATCCGTAACTGTTGGACCTGCCTTTGCCAAAAACTAATCAGTACATCTCCCTATGAATTGGAACCATTCAAATCGGTTGATCCGTGCGGCCGAAAACGTGAACGAAAAAATGTGGACACACAAAACACACACACACACACACATACACACATTCATTTTTTCTGAGGTATGCCAAATTGTTCAGAAACCTTCAAAACGTCGAGAAATGCAAAAAATTTCAATTTCGATTTTTGGACGATTACTAAAACTTACCCTACGGGAAGTTAATTGAATAAAATTTCTGAATAATAAAATAATACTAGAAAAACAATAAAGTGGAATTAAAACAATAAGTGACAGATAATAATAAATATAACAAAATAACAATATTAGAAATAATAAAATAATAATAAGATAATAATAATAATATTAATGTTAGCGATTACAAATGACTATTTAAGAGATCATTGGGAATTTTTCGTTTTAGCCTGGTTCGGCGCGCTTCTGAGAATACGAATAGGTTTATACGAATGGACAAAAAAAAAATTAAACAAATAATCATGAAGAAACCTTACCAGGCCAGACAGATCTTACCAAAAACTAATCAGAACTAATCAGTTCCTAAGCAAGTTTTTTACAGTTTAAATTGATACAAAATTGTGGGTTGAAATGTGAACGACAAAATTTTCAAATTTCTGGTAATTACAAAAAAAACGGCTTGTCCGATCGTCATACAAAACTGATAGAGACTAGTCATTGTCAAATTTAATTGAATGGCTTAAATTTTTGAAATCGGTTCTGCCGTTTTTGAGTAAACGTCGATGAAAGGTCAAAAATAGGCTTATATACACAGTCCAAATAGTATCATTCGATTCAGAATGACTTGAAACGTCTTCGAAACATAACTTTAGCAGATTTTCTAACAAAAACGAACTTCTTCTTTGAGATGTTAATAAAAATCTGATGTCAGTGCTGTTTTGATATTGAGCTAGTCAAGGTGGCTTTCGAATCCGGAACCAGTAGTTGCTAATCCTCGTTATTAATATATAATTTATATAAAATAAAATATGAAAACCAATTAAAGAATGATATAATTGCTTTGATTTACAAAAAATGCATGTTATAATATTTACTGTATATTTCATACTATTTATACATTATATAACAAGCAAGAATATTTTATAACATTTTTTAAAATATTTAAATTCATATTAACACAAATATGTTTATATTTCATTCATTTTCATCACGCTTTCGTCTATGAAGTGCCATGTGTGTCTGCAAATCTTTCGATTTAGTAAATCGTTTATTGCATATTTCACATTTATAAGGATCTTCTCTGTGATGAATCAACATATGTTTTCTCAGACTACTTAATTGTGTGAATGTCTTATTGCATATATCACATTCATAGGGACGTAGTCCACTGTGAATGACCAAGTGACGTTTCAGACTACCTAATTCTGTAAATGTCTTATTGCATACATGGCATTTATGAGGGTGCTCACCACTGTGAGTAACCATGTGTCTTTTCAGGTGACCTGAAAGTGCAAATGTCTTATTACATATATTGCATTCATGGGTCTGTACTCCACTGTGAATGACCATGTGAACTTTCAGATGGCTTAATTGTGTGAATGTCTTATTACAAATATTGCATTTATGGGGACGCTCTTCAGTGTGAATAACCATGTGTCTTTTCAGGTGACCTGAAAGTGCAAATGTCTTATTGCATATATTGCATTCATGAGGGCGTACTCCATTGTGCAACTCAATGTGGGTTTTTAGAACATGTAATTGTTTATAAGCCTTATGGCAGATATCACATTTAAAGGGTCGTTCTTCAGAATGTGTTATCATGTGTGTTTTCAACTGTTTTGCTAGTTTGAAAGCCTTGTGACAGATTTTGCATTTAAAAGGGCGTTCTTGGCTTTGACTAGGCATGTGATAAGCCACATGCTCTTTTAATTGATCAGATTCTGAAAATAATTGATTACAAATGTCACATACATAAGCTGGTGTATCGATTGGCTCCTGTTTGACTTCTTCTTCTATAGTCACTTCGGACTTCATAAATCTTTCCAAACATATTTCATGGTCCTCAGAACACGATTCAGATTTAACAATATCATTAAGGACATCAAATTGATCCTCAACTTCGCATTTAATATCTTCTTCTGAATATTCTGGTGGTTCAGTTTTAATTTTTTGATCATTCATAGACATAATTGTGTCTGCTGACATATTTAAATTATTCACTGCTTATGCTCATTTAATAAATAATTTCACTGCTTATAAATGTTTATACAATTGTTTATGGGATGAATAATAATCTAGTTTGATCAACAAAAACTTTGAACACTATAAAAGATTTTTACATTATTTGACATTTGAAGCATAGAGTATATTTTTATAAAGATGAGACGTTGATCACTTCACTTTGCTCTAACAAATGGCGCGTGTTTTCAAATTCAATATGGTTCTCGATATCTAAATTGTCAACAGATATTTTTTTAATAATTACCCATTTAATCGGGCGATTCATTTTTTTTAGTTACAAGCATTTTCAAAAGTTTATTTATGAAATATCGATCTTCTAGATCAGTGTTTACCAACGTGGGGCGCATACCCCACCAGGGGACAATTTACAAATTTTGGTGATTTGAATGTAATCTAGTATAGTATCAGTGAAACGTTTAACAAACTAGTTGGTATTGGTATTTTGCCTCGAGGCAAGTTATATGAATTTCCCGATATGTGTAAATAATCGACTTAATCCATGATAGATAAATTAATTTATGAGTGATTAAAAGTATTCCGAGTGCATTTATTATACATAATTGAAAACGAACGCACACGTTAACTCGGAGTATTTTTTAAAAGCAAATTTTCAAAAATTAAGAATTTTCATAATTGAATCAGTAGGACTTTAATGGTTTAGGTTGTTTATTGAAACCAAGTACTCTATCGTTATACCAAGTAAATCGTCTAATTTTAATTTCAACAAACGTCAAAAAAACTACTCATTTTCTTAAATTTTGATGAATTTTTAAAACTAAACTACTTGTTGCAAGGCCGTAATATTTCAGTAAGTTCTATAAGCCCATGATATATATCGTCAAAAAAAAGTTCCGTAAAAATCAGCTTAAATTTTTTTTTCAACAGTTAATTACAAGAAAACGGCTCAGTAGATTTTGACCTAAAACTAATCAGTATCATTTACAACTAATACCTTTCGAACAGTTTTTGATTTTTAACTTCCCGAAGGAGAAGTTTATGTTTTCATCAAAAAACCCGATTCGCTAATTTTATGTTTTCTCGACGTTTCAAGCCTTTCTGAATCGAATGAGACCAAATTTGGAAAAAGTATGTGTGTGTGTGTGTGTATGTGAACAGATTTTTTGCCGTAAATCGACGTTTTCTCGAAAACGGCTGGGTCGATTTCAAAAATTTAAACGCCATTCGATGTATCTCGACGAGAACTATTGTTTGTCAGTTTTGTGCGACGATCGGCCAAGCCGTTTCTTCATAAATGGCAGAAAAGTGAAAAATTTTTCGTCTACGTTTTAGCCCGCAATTCTGAATCGATTTTGAAAATTCAAAAACCGTACGAAAGATATTGGTTGGGAATCGTGCTGATTAGTTTTTGGTAGAGATCGGCCGGGCCGTTTTCTTGTAATAAAGTTTTTAAAAAAAAAATTTCGACGATTTTTATGATTATTTTTTTGACGATAGATACCATAGTCTTCTAGATCATACTAAAATATTACGGCCCTACGACAACTGGTTCAGCTTTAAAAATTCGTCAAAGTTTGCAAAAATCAGTATGGTCTTTTTGGCATTTGTCAAAATTAGACTTTTGATCGACGTTTTCTCAAAAACGCCTGAACCGATTTTAGAAATTTAAAAGCCATTTGATGTATTTCGGTGAGGACTATCGTTTGTCAGTTTTGTGCAACGATCTGCCAAGCCGTTTCTCTGTAATTTGAAAAAAACTTTTCGTCCACATTTAAGCTCATCCTACCGAACGATTTTAAAATATCAAAAACTGTTCGAAAGATATTAGTTGGGAATGATACTGATTAATTTTAGGTGAAAATCTACCGAGCCGTTTTCTTGTAATTAACTGTTGAAAAAAAGTGGTAAATTTTCGTCGACATTTAAGCTCATCCTACCGAACCGATTTTAAAAAATCAAAAACTGTTCGAAAGATATCATTTGGGAATGATGCTGATTAATTTTAGGTGAAAATCTACCGAGCCGTTTTCTTGTAATTAACTGTTGAAAAAAAAATTTAAGCCGATTTTCATGGAAATTTTTTTGGCGATATACATCATGGTCTTATAGAACTCACTGTAATATTACGGCCTTACGACAAGTAGTTTAATTTTAAAAATTCGTCAAAGTTTGCTAAAATTATTATCGTTTTTTTTTAAGTAGAATTAATGAAGTATATTATTTACACATTTTTTTTTTGATTAAGTCGATTATTTACACATATCGGGAAGTTCATGTAACTTGCCTCAAGGCTAAATACCAAACCAACTAGTTTAAAATCGATTCGGTAGTATAAGCTTAAATGTAGACGAAAAGTTTAACACTTTTTTCCAAATTACAAAGAAACGGCTTTGGCAGATGGTTGCATAAAACTGATAAACGATAATCCTTATTGACATACATCAAATGGTTTTTAAATTTCTGAAATCGGTTCAGGCGTTTTTGAGAAAACGTCGATCAAAGGTATAATTTTGACAAATGCAAAAATAACGATACCAATTTTTGCAAACTTTGACGAATTTTTAAAGCTAAACCAGTTATCGTAGGGCCGTAATATTTTAGTATGATCTAAAAGGCTATGATATCTACCGTCAAATAAAATAATAATACCAAGTGGGGCGCATGGCATAGTGCCTTAAGGCAAATTGCTAGAACTTCCCGTACCAAAAATTATATTTTTTTAAAGATTAACATTTTTGAAAAAAAAAAATAGATTTTTGAGAAACTATAAATTTTGGACTAAAATTTCCTTTTTTTTTGAAAAAAAAAGACTTTTTGAAGAAAAAAATATTTTGAAATATTTTGGAAGTTCTGAACTTTTTTCAAAGTAATCGTACTGCTTTAACTGCATCGAAGCGCGTAAGTGCCGCGTCGCGGTCTAACTGATAAACATTGGTACGGAACCCATAGGAATATAAACAAAATTTATACTTATTGTTAAAATCTCTATAAAATATCTGATAATTTGATGTGCATATGACTAATGATCTTTTTTGACCGCCAAATAGCATTTTTTTTACTTTTTTTGTTGGATCTCCGAAACCGCTAGACCTGCCTTCATGAAAATTTGTACCCGTTCTTCATCTTGTTAATACAAGTAAAATGTTTTTTGAATTATCCAAATCGGACGCTCCGTTCTCTTAAAAACTGAGTTACCATTTTTGGTATTTTTTGCCCCATATCTTCGGAACGGCTAAATTTGCCAAAAACTAATCAGCACGTCTCCTTATCGATACGAATCGAATGTTTTTTGAATTATCCAAATCGCTTCATCCGTGTTCCCAAAATCGTCGACGAAAATTTGTATCCGAACACATACATCCGAACACATACATCCATTTTTTCTAAGGTATGCCAAAATGTTCAGAAGGTTTTTCAACGTAAAGATATATAAAAATTTCCTTTTTGATTTTTTTGCGATTACTATAACTTGCCCTAAGGGAAGTTAAAAATTGTCGAAAAAAAATCTTTCAACACTTTATTACAAGAAAACGGCCCGGCCGATCTTTATCAAAAACTAATCAGCAGGATTTCCAACCAATATCTTTCGAACGGTTTTTGAATTTTCAAAATCGATTCAGAATTGCGGGCTAAAACGTGGACGAAAAATTTTTCACTTTTCTGTGATTTACAAAGAAACGGCTCGGCCGATCGTCGCACAAACGATAGCCCTCATCGAGATACATCAGATAAATTTTTGAAATCGGTCCATCCGTTTTTGAGAAAACGTAGATTAACGGCAAAAAATCTGTTCATACACACGCACACACACACACATACTTTTTTCAAATTGGGTCTCATTCAATTCAGAAAGGCTTGAAACGTCGAGAAAACATAAAATTAGCGAATCGGATTTTTTTATGAAAACATAAACTTCTCCTTCGGGAAGTTAATAAAATAAGAATTGCAAAAATTGTTGTTAGAATAATGGCTACATAAAAAATACCAATTTCATCCAAAAATGAGAGTTGATTTAATTGAATTATTGTTGAACAATTATTTTTTATGCAATTATTTTCACAATTGAAAACGTTAAAAAGACTATTGCGTTATCATGCCCATTTTAGTACAATTTGGAATGTTAGAATTTCTTTATGATCAATAAACGATTTTTATTATTTGAAACGTTAAATTAATAATTTTAGAACATTTTCATCTATATAACTAAATTTTTGGATTGTTTTATCGTACTTCATCTAAATGATTTAAAACAAGAAAAAAAGACTTAGTTATTTTCTTTTTGATTGTTCTTTTTTTTCAAATTCTAATAAATAAATAATTAGAAATATATTTTTATGGTATTTACTTGTATTTCATAAGTACAAGATCGCTCCACCGTGCATATTTGTGCTTGTAGTCTGTCACCCAAATGGTGCAAGTAGAGACTTAAAATCTTATTTCAGATTGTATGAACGACTAGGAAATGGTAGTTTTACTAGAAATATACGTTTTTGTATACTGAATATATACAATTTCGTGTTAAGTGATTTAATTTTTTTTATTTGAGTTGTACATATACTATTGTAGAATCCATACTGTTTTAATTTATGTGGTAGTTAAAATTAGTATTACCAAAAGTGTATGGTATAAATATATATATATATATATATATATATACTAGATGACCCGACAGACGTTGTCCTGTACCCTCGTCTGCAATTTTCTAATATCCTGTAATATTTACCATTCAGTTAAAAATACTAAATATTGTTTTTTGAATTACTTTTCACACCAAACTATGAGTGATGGTAAATGTAGAACTGCTTTAAATAAAATAATCATTTTCAATTCCCACTGTTAACTTTTTAATTATCTCTTTAAAAAAATGGATTTTTTTCATAAAATCGTGAGTTTTATCAAAATAGTTTGTTTTAAAGTTGTGGTATGCACTAGAATCCATCAAGATATTTTGAATTAATTCTAGATTAGATTATTTCCGTGTTGATTCTAGATAGAATACGGTTAATTTTAATTTTGGTGGAATAGCACTCATAGAACTATTTAATTTAAATGAAAAAAAAAATTGTATGCGTCTTTTATTTGCATTATAGCTCACTCATTTTACATTTAAAAGACTCTTAACGGTACTCATTTCAAAGCTTATTTTGAGCACTATAAAACCTCATTTTCATATCTAGCTTAATATTGTTCCTAAAACACTTTATAAAACACAGAATATAATTAATATAATTTTGTGAATTACATTATTTTTGTTAAAATGTATAGATAAATAGTATAGTGATATTTGCGAAAAAGTAAAGAAAAATGGCAATAAGAAACTAATTTTGAGTAGCCAGTAACTTAAAAAGCATTTGCATTTTTGAAAAACATGAAACATTCTATTTTTATAATTAGTTCTTCTATCGATATCCGACGTTCTTTTGAAAAAATAAAACTACACCACTGAGGCGGCGGAGTCTAAATTATTTTCACTTTTGAACTTGAGAGTAAGATGAACCTTATTCTAAAATTTCATGCAAGTTGGAGCACAGTAAAAAAATTTAGATCCACAACGCTCCATTGACTGGAGCAAATATTCCGTTTGGCTAATATACTAATTTATAGAGCCAATAAATCATAATTAAAAAAAAAATTCCGTTTCCGATGCAAAACAAATGAATTTTTGACACAAAATAATTTTTACACTAGTGGGGTGTGTGGCATCGTGCCTTAAGGCAAATTGCAGAAACTTTCCGTACCGTAACAAAATGTTCGAGGAATATTGAATGTTTTCAAATAGATTATTATAAATATTGTAACATTGTCTAATATTTATAGGATTTATATAAACTGAATTGCAAAGTTGAAATTATTTGTTCAAAGTATATTAGAACTTTAGTCAGAATTAAAAATAAAATCTGAATTATTTTCGATATACAAAAAAAATGTTTTTAAAAATAAAACTGAAAAAAAAAATTTTGAAACAAAAAATTTTTTTTCCGAAATCAATTATTTTGTTAAAACAAGCATAAAGTTTTTTGAATCATCTAAATCCCACGCTTCGTTTTCTCAAAAACTGCCATTTTTTGCACATTTAGCTCGGTATCTTCGAAATGGCTGGGCCTGCCTTTGCCAAAAACTAATAATCACTTCTACCAATCGTTACTAATTGCATGATTTTTAGATCATTCAAATCGAGTGCTCCGTTCTCTCAAAAACTCGTTTTTTAATTTCTGCACTCTTTGCTTTTTATCTCCGTAATTGCTCGACCTGCCTCTGTCAAAAACTAATCAGCACATTTCCCTATCAATAGGAATCGAATGTTTTTGGAACCATTCAAATCGGTTGATCCGTGCGCCGGAAAACGTGGACGAAAAATTGTATCCATACATACATACACACACACATCCATTTTTTCTGAGGTATGCCGAAATGTTCAGAAACCTTCAAAATGTCGAGAAATGCAAAAAATTTTAATTTCGATTTTTGGGCGATTACAATAACTTACCCTACGGGAAGTTAATAAGTAAATTTATTTTGTATTGTGATTTACTAAAAGTAAATCTCAATACAAAGTAAGGCAAAACACGACTGCATTAGTTAAAAAATAATAATCTGTCAAACTGAATTAAAATAATTTCATCCGGGAAACATATACTGTATCTTATATTGTTTTAATTTCTGGCACATCTCAGCTGCTAAAGCTTTTCGGCAATAATAATGTAGACACTACATTTTTCGTATTCATAATTCATAAATTTATTATATATATTCTAATATTGTCTAGGTAAATAAATAAATATTGTAAAATTGAATTTCTTTTTAGATAACAAATACCCAGGTTAGCAGCTATTTTTAAAAAACAACCAAGAACTTTCTGACCATCAATGCTTATAACTGTCGTATGTAGACTTGACGGTCGTTTTTTAATCTATTGCGTATTTTCTGCGTAGCTTTTAAAAATCGTCCTCTACTTCTCGGTGACATGCAACAATTAATCTTTTATGACGCAACGACAAAGAAGAAAACAGAATAAATTATAGTTGTACGTTGTTGTATTATATTTAGCACTTCCATCATCACACTTTTTCCTTGTTATATAACGCTTTTATCTGCCTTCGTAATCTTCCGAACGGCTGATCAAATTTAATATGCCTGTCGACACTCTTTGTTGTATCTAAGTAGATATACAACATACGCCCATGGAAAAACGATACATTATATCATTATATATATAGTGCTTTACATATGCCCTATATATACACTAAATATTTTTAAACAAAACTCGATAGCAAAATAAATTCATAGTTTTGATCTTCTTACGTAATAGTAAATACATATCTATAGCTCGACGCATTTTTAAAATAGAATTTATAGTGAATGTACTAATATAATGCCATTTTAATGACCATACGAGAAAAATTGTAATATTTATTATTATTAAAATGATGGTGTAAAAATCATATTTTTTTTTTGGACTTATATAAATTTCATAATTTTTAACTTCCGTTTAGAGTAGTTTATAGAAATCATACAAAAATCAAAAATAAATTTTTTTTGTTTATAAACATTTTTGCATTCCTTAGAGAAATATCATGTATGTATGCGTTTATGCGTATGTATGGATACAGGTTTTCGTCCGTGATTTCGGGCGTCCGGATATATCGATTTGAATGATTCAAACGACATTCGATTCCTATTGATAGAGAGACGGGCTGATTAGTTTTACGCAAAGGCATGTCCAGCCGTTTTGGAGATACGGGGCAAAGAGTACAGAAAACAGAAATAGAGTTTTTTGAGAGAATGAAGCATCCGATTCGAATGATTCAAAAAATACTCAATTTGTAATGATGGAGAGAAGTGGTAATTAGTTTTTAGCAAAGACAGGTCCAGTTATTTTAAAGATACGCAGCTAAATGTGCAAAAAATAGCAGTATTTGAGGGAACGGAGTATCTGAATGATTTGAATGATTCAAAAAACTTTGTACTTGTATTGACGAAACGAAGGTTTTTGGTGATTTTTTTTTTATTTCAAAATAAAAAATATTAAATTCATTTTTTTTAATTCGAAAATATTCAGATTCTAATTTCAATTCTAGCTAAAATTCTAAAGCTCACTTATGTACTTGTAATGAATAATTTCAACTTTGCAATTCAGTTTATATAATTTTTGGTAATATGAGATAAGATTTTTGATTCTAACTGCGCCTAATGGATTTCAAATATAATTGTCGGTGCATTTTTGATAAGCAATCATCTTTTTCTTATTTTTAGAAATATACTATATTAATTCTTTATTCTGCTTCTAATCTGCATTGTACATTATGAAATGGAAAAGTTAATTAGTCATTCGTATATCAGCAATGAAATCACTATAAAAGGTTATCTAGCAAAAACTAAATGTAAAAAGGAAATGTGTTTCGTTCTGTTCCTAAATCATCTGTGTTGCTTTTCCAAATTATATGTCGTTAAACATGACCTACATATATCGTTATCGCTTCAATCAGCTTCCTGCAATTGCAAGTAATCGTTTGGTATGCAGATTTCCTTCAAAATCATTATTCAGAAAATTCTATTAATAACATTTAAAATGCTAGATTTGAAATTATTTTAAAGGTCATGAATGATGCATGCAAATAATGTATTCAATATTTTATTTTTAAGCAAAATGTTTTGGCAAAGCAGCAATATATTAGTTGGAATAATGCATTTTCTATATTACGCTTGCAATTTGTATTTTATAAAAACAAACTATATTTTTAAATAAAAAATATAGTTCTGTAATCTATTTGACTTATTTTAAAACCCAAAATTTAACCCTTGTTTCGACGTTTGCTCAGGAACAGCTGAACCGATTTTATGCAACTCGATAAGGACTCGCATCGATTTGTTTTGCGCATTGATCGGCCAAACCGTTTTCTTATAACTAGTAGAGAACAGCAAAAATTTTGGTTTTTAACCGAAAATTTCGAAAATTCAATAACTTCTCCAAAGGTACCATTTAGAAATCGATCTTTCAACGTGATTTTAAAATATATAAAACTGATTGGTCTTACACAATCTAAAAACTAACACTTTCAAATATCAATACATACAAATTTAATGTTTTAAACCAATGATTCCCAAAGTGGTCCACATAGACCCCTAAGGGTTCATAGCAACTTTCAAGGGGTCCACAAAATGAGGATCCACCGCAGTGGATATTATACATCATGTTAAAATCTATTTATTTACGTTAAACGATAATATAATATATAGATTTATAATCAATTTTCTAATAGAGTAGGCAATATTTAGACATGAACCAAAAAGTGAACAAAAAACATTACACATGGCACACATTGGCAAAAAAATACGGTTTTAGAGACTGTTTTAGAATGTATAGATACTAAATATAAAGGTTTAATAAAGTGTAACATAGATGACGCTTATTTAACTTTTTCGGTATCTCTGATCCTATCAAAAATCAACAAGGTGCTTACGCCTGAATCTCTATAAAAAGTCATAACTGCATAGAATTGAATGACAGGACTCACCAGGTTAAGATCATTTTCCAACAAAATCTGAAAATTGGCATTCTAATGTACAAAATCCCAATCCTAATTTGTATTAATGTTGGTTATAAAATTGTTTTTTTTTTAACTCCTAAAGTTGCTGTGATATAAGTGACTAATTATCAGTAAATTGTCAAAACTTAGAACTAGGAAGAGCTCGGCCTGGACATTTAAAAATTTAAAATAGTGTTTTAAAATAGTTTAAAACTAGTTGGTTTGGTATTTAGCCTTGAGGCAAGTTACATGAACTTCCCGATATGTGTAAATTATTGACTCAATCAAAAAAAAAAGTATAAATAATATACTTCATCAATCCTACTTTAAAAAAACGATAATAATTTTAGCAAAGTTTGACGAATTTTTGCAATTAAACTACTTGTCGTAATACCGTAATATTACAGTAAGTTATATAAGACCATGATGTATGTCGCCAAAAAAAGTTCCATGAATATCGGCTTAAATTTTTTTTTCAACAGTTAATTACAAGAAAACGGCTCGGTAGATTTTCACCTAAAATTAATCAGCATCATTCCCAAATGATATCTTTCGAACAGTTTTTGATTTTTTAAAATCGGTTCGGTAGGATGAGCTTAAATGTGGACGAAAAGTTTAACACTTTTTTTCAAATTGCAAAGAAACGGCTTGGCAGATCGTCACACAAAACTGACAAACGATAGTCCTCACCGAAATACATCAAATAGCTTTTAAATTTCTAAAATCGGCTCAGGCGTTTTTGAGAAAACGTCGATCAAAGGTCTAACTTTGACAAATGCCAAAAAAACAATACCAATTTTTGCAAACTTTGACGAATTTTTAAAGCTGAACCTGTTGTCGTAGGGCCGTAATATTTTAGTATGATATAGAAGACTATGGTATCTACCGTCAAAAAAATAATCATAAAAATCGTCGAATTTTTTTTTTTAAAAACTTTATTACAAGAAAACGGCCCGGCCGATCTCTACCAAAAACTAATCAGCACGATTCCCAACCAATATCTTTCGAACCATTTTTGAATTTTCAAAATCGATTCATAACTGCGGGCTAAAACGTGGACGAAAGAGTTTTCACTTCTCTGCTATTTACGAAGAAACGGTTTGGCCGATCGTCGCACAAAACTGACAAACAATAGTCCTCATCGAGATACATCGAATGGCTTTTAAATTTTTGAAATCGGTCCAGCCGTTTTTGAGAAAACGGCGATTTACGGCAAAAAATCTGTTGGTGCACACGCACACACACACACACACACACATACTTTTTCCAAATTTGGTCTCATTCGATTCAGAATGGCTTGAAACGTCGAGAAAACATAAAATTAGCGAATCGGATTTTTTGATGAAAACATAAACTTCTCCTTCGGGAAGTTAATAAGGTGTTTTTAGTACCATGCATTTTGTTATGGTAATATTAGGATGTCTCATGTGGATGGGTTGCGAGTTCAGACCTCTGCTGTGGATAGCCTGATATCGTGCAGTAGTGATGTTCATTTTGAAAATAGAGATGAGAAATATGTTTCTAATTGAAACTGCCCATTTTTGGGCACTTTGGTGTGAAATGGCGATGAGAAATGTTCACACCATTCTTCTCCGAATCGAGTTGGAGTTTAACTTAACCCACGGAACTGCAGTACTAGTCATTATTATTTTATTATTTATTATTATGATAAGCAAATAGTGAGCGCCACTTTTCATTAAATTTCCGTAGGGTTAGTTATAGTAATGGGCCAAAAATCAAACACGAAGATTTTTGCTTATCTTCACGTTTCAGAGATTTGTGAACATTTTGGCATACCTCATAACAAATGTATGTGCGTGTATTACCTCATAAACATTCAATTCCTAGTGATCAGGAGACGTGGTGATTAGTTGTTAACGAAGACAGGTCCAGCGGCTTCGAAGATATTGAGCAAAAAGTGTTAAAATGTCCGTTTTTAAGAGAACGGATAAACCGATTTGAATAATCTAAAAAACATTCGATTCATTATAAAGGGTAGAAGCGGTGGTTAGATTTCGACAAAGGCAGGTTCAGCCGTTTCGGAGATATAGTGTTAAATGTGCAAAAAATGACAGTTTTTGAGAGAACTAATTTGAGTGATTTTTAAAGATCTTTCTGCTTGTGTTGACGAAACGATTGCTTTTAAGAAAGGTTTTTTTTTATTTAAGTTTTTTTTTTTAATTTAAAAAAATGAAAACATTCAATATTTCTCATACGGTAAGTTCTAGCAATTTGTTCCACCACTAGTTTATTATTTTTAATTGCACTGAATGAAAGCTAGGACTGCGTTGAATCGCACAGATTTTAAAATGAGTTTTAAAAGAATCGTATAAGTTCATTCTTGAAATCTTTCTTCTTAATGTTTCGCCCTATTATTAGACGTTGTTAATATATATAGACTTATATATCTTTTGGATATAGGCATTTTCCTGAGAAGACGTGTTACATTACAACACAAACAAAAGTTCCAAAGCAAACTGCCTTCCATAAAGACATCAAAATCGACCTATATATAAAATTGTCACATATTCTTGACATATAACGTGACATGACATTTACGGCTGCTGTGGTCCAATCTTTTGTTCCTGATGTGACATTAGGGACCTTATATTTTAGCAATATACTTTATTAGCAGAGCAACTATTCCCTGGAGTATATTACATGGATTATTTTATGATCAGTGACTTCAAGGGACAAAAATGGTTGAAAATTATACATGATATTTACTTTGCAATTATTTGGTATTTAATAAATTATGTTAATTAAATAAGTTAGTCTAATGTCACATTTTAAAATTTTTGACTCCGTTAACTTAATGTCTGATATTAATTTTCATAGCCTCAACGTTTGATTAGATAAATTGAAAAAATAAACAGAATAACGGCAATATTTCTATGCAGTTTTGTTTACCATATACTTTGCATAGTAAAAATAAAGATGTTTTTGCAGCATTTTATTTCTTTGCTGCGAGGATAAAAAGTCTCGGCGCAATTTTCCAAATTGTTTTATATATCCATCGTCAAACTTGTTGAAATATACGAATAAAAATATTACACGCCTTTATTTAATTAGAAAAAAGATCAGAAAAAATCAGAAAACTCGACAAAATGCAATATTTCTAATATAATAAGTTTGGTTATTATACTGGGCATAATAAAAATTTAAACAAAATAATATCTTATTCGAGATGAAAATGAAAGGGTGTTTGTGCACTGAAATGTCCCATTTACAAATTATTACAGAAATCCAGAAAAAATGCGATATTGGTCATGAATATTTTTAATATAGTTGTGCACATGGTGGTACTATAAAACTTTATGACTAAGTATTTATTTTAGTGAAATGATATCTAATAAATTGGTGTGGTACTAACGTCGTATTCAAAAAGGTTCTACTCCTTTTTTATCATTCAGTGTAGTCATAAGAGCATTAAGATATTTTTACCTTTTCATAGGGTAAGTTATTGTAATCGTCCAAAAATCGAAATTGAAAATTTATGCATTTCTTTACGTTTTGAAGGTTTCTGAACACATTGGCATACCTCAGAAAAAATGGATGTGTGTGTGTGTTTTGTGTGTATATATGTATGGATATAATTTTGTGTCCACGTTTTCGGGACGAACGAATTAACTGATTTGAATGGTTCAAAAAACATTCGATTCCTATTGATAGCGAGATGTGCTGATTAGTTTTTGGCAAAGGCAGGTCCAGCAGTTACAGAGATAAAGAGGAAAGAGTGCAGAAAATACGAGTTTTTGAGAGAACGGAGCATCCGATTTGAATGATTTAAAAAACATTCAATCAGTAATGATTGGGAGAAGTGGTGATTAGTTTTTGGCAAAGGCAGGTCCAGCCGTTTTGGTGATGCCGTGCTAAATGTGCAAAAAATGGCAGTTTTTAGACAACTAAGCATCCGATTTTAATGATAAATAAAACTTTCTGCTTGTGTCGACGAAACTATTGCTTTTAGGAACA